AGATTGCTTTGGTGTGGTTCTCAGAATCTGCTAGCAAGTAGCTCTTTAGTGAGAGCCTTGGTTTATCTCTGTGATCCTGGGAAGGGTAACTGTGGAAAGTGCCAAGTTTGGGGGTACTCTGGCCACAGCACAGAGCAGAGGGCAAGCCAACCTTAATGTTGCACAGACCGCTACACACATCCTTGGCTCCACAGACAAGGATGCGGAAGGCCTTGTGGCCATGAGTAAGCCCATATGAACAATAATGGGCCCTTTGGGCAGAAAGCTCCGCCCCCTCTTACCTGCAGTTCTTCTAAGAGGTCAAAGTTCTGTTTACGTAAGCTGCTGTTAGTCTTTTCTAACTTATCCATTCTTTGGCTGCTATTGAGCGGAGAAGAATCAATGAGTTCATCCTGAAGCACATGGTATTCAACTTCATAAGCTTGTAACTGCTTGGAGATGTCCATCTCAAACACCTGTCGCATACAGAAATGGAGTCAGGCACTGAGAAGACTGAGAACCACAAATATTCACGTGACTTCTTTGAACCAGCATTTATTAAGCACCCACTGAAGACCTATTCCAAGAGGATGGGCATTATGCTTTATTTAAGCTTTGGCTCTTCCCTCACCACCACCTTCCCTCTCTTCCCACCCCCACCCCCAACTTTCCCTCCCTTTTAATCCTCCCCCACTCCCTCCCCACCTAGTGTCACACTTGTGAACACAAATTTGACAACCTCATTAAGTGTTTGTGGAATGAATTGAATGCATGTGTAGTTTTGTGCCAGGCCCTATAGGGGAGACTAAAGACAGCCATGCTTTCTATCCTTGAAGAACTTAACCATTTGGATTAGCTACCCCCCTGAAGCTTTATGAGAAGTCATAATAATACATTAAATAGCTAGAGAACAATTTTAAGGCAACTTACAATCAAATATGAAATAGGCTCATGTTTCCATTACCAATTATCTAAAAGACAAAACCTTTCTCAAACTCTGCTAGAGAATCATTTCTCTACCAAGTAGAATTATACTTTTAGAGCCTGAAAAGGCAGGCTAGTTTCTTTCCTCTCCAAGTCTGTCCCCTAAAATGCTACCACATGGGTTTTTAAAAAATGATCCATGCCCCCATTCACACTGTTACTGGGTCAAAGTTTAATTACAGTTCATCATCAGGAGAATAGCTATGTAACAGAAGTGTTTACTGAAAGACCCTCCTTGGACCAAAAAAATAAAAAATGCAGAAATGGACACAGAACCCAAATGTCACCCACATAGATGAGTGAATGAGAAACAAAGCTTGAGTTGTCCTCCTTCCCATAATAGTAATAGTGACGGAAAAAACCGCACACTAGAAAAATAACCCTAAAGCACAGAAGTGAATCAGTTGCTCATTGTTTGGTCTCTCTTAGAAGACAGTGTGACTTGGTAGAGAGAATACTGAAGGACCTCAGGAGACTCTGAGTGTATTGCTGCCTAGGCTATTTTTCCTCCCTTCATTGTTTCCATGAAAATAATAACGTACTGGCCTCTGCTTGCACAGTTAAGTGATGGCTTAAATGTATTTGTAGTTTGGAATTTCAATTAAACTTGGTTTTCTATGAGGGGTCCCAATATGTTACTTGGAAAATGAATTTAAAGAGTGAAGTTAAGGTTAAAACAGAAATATTCAACTACAATGGTATCCCTTCCTGAATGCCACAACTTCAATATGGTCACATCAATGAGAACATGTTTTAATCCCTTTGAAGTCACACTCAGAATTTAAAGAAATAGAATATCAAAGAATTTAATTCCACCTTCCTATACCAATAACTATGTTTTCTCCTCCTTGAGATGAACTCTTTCCCTCCTAGTTTTCAGTTAGGGAAATTACATAAATAAAACAAACTGAATTCGGCATATAAATATTTACTGACATATACATAGAAAAGAACTCAAATACATGATATTGGTATAATATTTTAGTTCTCAAAGAACTTTCATATACATCATCTTATTTTGCCCTCACAACAACTCTAAAGTAGGTAGGGGTTATTATTACCCCTGTTTTACAGATGAGGAAAATGAGTCTTAGAGAGGTTAAGTGATTTGCCTACTATTCCAAGGAGACTAAGCTGGAACAAAAACCCTGGTCCTCTGACTCACAGGCCACCAATCTTACCCCCCCAAACCACAGCTGTCTTTCATTTTTATAGTAGATGACAATGAAACCACATTTTGCCTTCATAGGTAATTTAATTTAAGTCAACAAGTATGCCCTCAAGGACAAGGAACCTAAATGTCTGAGAATCTAATTTGCCATTTTAACATAACAAAAAGCAACTAATGAATCCCAGCTCAGAACAAAATTATTTAAATAGTTTCAAAACATTCATGTATGCCTCACTTTAAGAAAATCCAATGTTCAAGAATCAGACCATACAATGCAGATGACCTTGGGTAACTTATTTCAGTGTATCTGGAATCAAGGGGTCTAGGTGAAAAGCCTTTATCTGTCACTAACTACTTGTGAAATGTGGGATAAATCACTCAAACCTCTCTGGGTCTCAGTTTCCTCATCTCTAAAATGGGGAGGGGGTGAACTAGATGACCAATGAGGTCTAAGACTATGACATCTGAATTAAAAAGTTGAAATATAAAAGGATTCACTGTAGGCTGCTTTAAATAATGTACTTCCCAAGTGCATATAGATTATATTTGCAAAAAATCAATTCACATACAACTTTCCAGGTACACAATGACTGTAAAGAACCGAGACAGGTATAAATCTTTTGAGTGGCATGATGGTCAGCTTCAGATCCAGAAAGACCTTAGTTCAAACTCTGACTACTGTGACATACTCTAGATGTATGACCATGAACAAGTAATTAACCTCTAAGCAAGTTACTAACTTCTTTGAGTCCTGGGCAACTTCCCAAGCCTAAGTCAGAAGGGAAATGCTGAATAGCAATAGTGGAGGAAATTTACATACTGGAATTTCCCCCACACTGATGAAAACACAGGTTCAAATCCCTCTCCTCTGCCCCCAAATCTGTGCTGAAATGCATCTCTCTGTCTCACTCTACACACCCACACACATACATACACACAGACACACCCACACACCCACAAATATATGTGCATATCTCAAACATTTTTTCCCATCAGATTTATTTAAATCACGTTTTAGCCTGGAAAGTCTCAGCAACAAAGCCTTGAGCATTTTATGTAGACTGAACACCAACTAAGGTTAATGGCTTTCAGCTGGGCCCAAGGCCTTTCATCTCTTCATTACCTCCTGATTGCCATATCTGCTGCTGTCCTAGCTTATGCCATTATATTCCAGAATCCATATTACCAAACTATGGTAATATATGCTAGATTCTGAAAAGATAGCTTCATCCCCAAGATAATACTTCTGAAATGTCACTAGATGTTTTGTGAAAGGGATGGCTCCTTCCTCTTAGTCAAAGGATACCTGTGGCCTATTTCAGGTTTCAGAATCTTTGCCACCAGAAAGGAAGATGGGTTGAAGAATAAAAACTAGGGCCTATTAATATGCCAAATCAAAGCAGCAAAGTAAAAGTTGAAGAAAGAACAATCATACACCAAGGCTAGGAGGACTGAGCATTTAACAGTACATGTTGCTATGGGAGAGCAAAAGGATTTCATGGGATCACAGATGTAAAGTTATCAAACTCTCACTTTACAAATAAGGAAATGAGGCCCAGAAGTTAGGTGACTTGTCCAAAGTCATAAAGTAGTAAGTAACAGTGTCAGGATCTGAACTCCAGACTCCTGACTTCAAGTCCAGCATTCAAGGTCCCAGAGCTATACATAGTTGACTAGTATGTTAAACAATGAATTATCAGAGCAGCTTTGCTGAATGCTGTCTTTTCTTTCCAATTATTCCATTAAAAAATGTGACACAGTTCTAAGTTGCCTAATAACCCATAAGTTCCATGCTTGGTTTTCCTAAGATTTTTCATATAAATTCCAGACACCTGGAGTTGAGGACATGAAGCCAACATTTCCATTTGTTAAGCCTGTCATATGCTCCTTAACACCCCAGTTGAATCTACCCAGTTCCAGATTTTCAGTATTGAAAGATAATGAGCTAACCATTTCATTTTTTTTTTTTTTGAGCTATCCATTTTCAATGGCACAAACAGTCCCAAAGTTATTCTACCTGCTTTGCAAGATGAAGCCAATAGCAGACTGCCCAGGTTAGGCTCTGTGCATCCAAGGTCTAAGCTACTAAAGACTGTATTAATTTGATAGGTAGCTTCCTAAACAACTATCCTGTCCGTATCCAAGTTTCTTGGATTCGGGGCATTGATATGGCTAACATACATGTTGTTGTTTTTTTTTTTTTAAAAAGGTAGGAAAAAGTATGCAGAAATATTGACACTATTTCCATTTCACAAAGCCTCTGCTATGCCTTTTGTTTCCTTCTTTTATAAACAGATCCCAAAATGATAATAGCCTCAGAGCCATCTCCACCTCTTTTCTATATGGCCTTAAAATGTCTTTATTTGTGATGTAGGCCATTTTAAGAACAAGAATGTTCATTTTCAGGCTCAAACCATGACTAATCTGGAAGAAACATGAAAAAAACAATGTCAGGGAAAACCTTGGGTCCTTCATTTGACAAGATACATTTGCCCTTTCCTGTTGGAACGACTGATCTTTTTAGAAGTGCTTAAATGCACAGTTGCTCCTGGGCTTCTAGGTGACAGCTGGAGGGTGAGGAGGGTCCAGCACAGTTTTTACAAACATTTGTATCTGGCATTGGGAGCTGGGTTCTTTCTCCTTCCAGGTCCAGATCAGGCCACAGGTTCTGGACCACCCAGAAATTTCCAGCTGGTACAAGCCCATCTGTGTGGTTTTCCTGGCCACAAAGGAAGCCTCTCAACACCTGTCTGACTCTTTGAGTACAATGGACCACTGGAGGAAGTTCTGGGGAACATGGAGGAAGAATGGAAAGAGTGCAAAGAAGGGAACAGAGTATTAAGCTTCCAGCCATGTTGGGAAATAGAGCAAGAAAAGGCAGGGTTTCGTTTTTGTTTTAATTTTGGGGCTCCTGGCTTTATTTCTGCTTCTTATCAAGACTGTCAGTGGGGAAGAGGCCTTATGATTCCCTTTGAATAGCAGTTAATAATACCACAGGGGCTTGTGGGACTTGAGGGGAAAAAAGAGTAGTCACTGGCTTCTAGATTTTGGTGCTAGTGACTAAGAGTTCATAATTTTTTTCCCCATGACTTATACATTAGCATAATTGATGACAAATAAAGAAAAGGAACACAATAGAAGCAAAAGAATGTGAATAGTAAAAGGAAAAAGGGACATAAAATTTGGAGATGAGTTATATTGCTAAAAGACAGGAAAACAACATGATCTATGGTACATGAAGGTTTACAAAGCACTTTACCTACATTACTTCACCTGACCCTCACAACAACCCCATAAGTTAAGGACTCCAAGCATAGGCATCATTTTCTCTATTTTACAAATGAGTAAGCTGAGGCACAGAGGGGAGGAGTGACATCACTGTCATATAATTATTAAATGTCTGAAGCAGTAATTGAACCCATGTCTCCTCTTATTCCCAACTGAATTCTTTCTACTACACTACTCATTTCATGATAAAGGACAAAATGCAAAAAAAAAAAAAAAATTTCTCTCTCTACATACACACACACACACACACATACACACATACACATACACACATTTTGTAGATCAGTTCACTTAAAATTTAATCAAAATGTACTCTAGCAAATGGACAATTGTTGAATGCCATCAACAAATTACCACATCATACCAATAGGTCAATTATAACATTCCCAACTTTTCTCAGGTCATGTTCGCTCTACTTTCATTCTTAACCACTTAAGGTAACACAACAAATGAAAACAACACACTTTTAGCAGAGCTTGTCCTACAGAAGACTCCTATGAGTTTCCCTGTTTTTTGGTTTCTCTGTTTTACTTGATTGCCAGAAACCAAGAGATACTGGACTTGAAGAATTTTTTCAGTTTCTTCCCTATTGTTGCCCACTTGCTGCCATGATTTCCTTTTGGAATACGTGAACTCCAAAGGACTTCTTCAGTATCACTGGAGATGGGAGCTGCCAGCCAGCAGGATCCAGGACAGAGAGCTATTCCAGAGGAAGCCCAGAGAAACAAGGCAAGGCCAACAGACAGAGAGAGGGACACAGTAAGAGGGAAAGGGAGAAACTTCTTTATGTTTCAAATATTTAGCATCTCTTTTTCTTTACAGTGAATCTGATTGCTTTCCAGTCCAAATGCCCATCTCTTTAACAACAAAGTTCTTGGTTCACAAGGGACAGGGGCAATCCACATCCCTCAAAGGCTCAAACAAAGCACTCCAAAATCTTGTCATTCACCAGCATATTTCAATAGATCTGTGACTTCATTGACATGAGCATATTCCTTCCAATGGTGCATGGTCCATTCATGTTTTCTCATCCTGCAGGACTCTTATCCATGCCCTCCCAAAAATCCTCTGCAAGGAGTTCACCCAACATGGTGAGGATCTTCCTCTAGCTCTCCTGATGAAGAATATAGGCTATCAACTTCATTCTTGCTATATGTCTGGCCCTCTTCCTTTTCTAACCGTTATGTCTATATGACTATGTCTATAGTTCTAACGATATTCTCTAAACCACCTTTCCTGGCTCCTGGGTTAAAGATTTTGAGGATGTTGGAAAGCCCAAGATAGAGCCCTGCAGTATACCAATATCTCTAGGGAAAGCCATGGATGATGAATTTGCAAAGAAGAATGAGGACTGGTCAGAAAGGGCAGTGTCCCGAAAACCTAGAGAGATGGCAGTGTTGGTCAAGTGCTGGGGTCAGAAGAAAAAATGTAAGGAACTGTGGGAGGTGGGCAGGCTGAGGCCAATGAGTGCTGAGCACCTGTTTTAGGAGCTTGGCTGTGAAAGGGAAAAAGATATAAGACGACAACTTGAAGGGTTATATGAAGGCTTTCTAAGGATGGTGGAGAGCTGGACATGTTTGCTGGTAGCAAGGAAGGAGCCAGTAGATAAAGGGAGAGAGAATGAAAACCATTTTGGAGGATTTAGACCTGGATGAATAGCTAGACCACAAGAGTGGGTCATGGTATAATATTAACAGGTTAGTGTCACTTTCTGAGAAGGTCTACAATGGAGTGTCCCAATAATCTGGCACTGTGTTCTTCAACACTTTTATGAAAGCATTGACAATGGTATGCTCGCAGATGACATGAAGGTCAGGAAGCAAGGAAGGGGGTAGATAGCAAACACACTGAATGACTGAATTTCTTCTATGCCATCCACAAAATGTAGCCATATAATTTCTGCTTGAAAACCTCTGGCAAAGGGCAACCCATGGCAAGTTACTTAACTTTAGGGCATCTCTATTTGTTAGGATGTTACTCCTTATATCAGGTCTTAATGAACCTCTGTACAACTTCCACCTTAACGTCATTTTTGCCTTTCTTCAAGGATAGTTAATAGGGGCAAACTAAATATAATGAAATAAGGATAAATTTTAAATCCTACACCTCTATTCAAAAAATCAACTGCAAAAATGCATAACAGAGGAGTCAAAGCAAGACGAAAGGTCCTGTAAAAAACATGTGAGGGTTTTGGTAGACTCAATCAACATAATTCAATTTAATGACAATTTAACAAACATACTGAGCACTTATTATATGCCAGACACTGTGTTAAGTGCTCAGGATACAAAGACAAAAAAATGAAATAACTATTGTCTTCAAGGCAATCAATCTGCCTTTTAACCCCACTGCTCTACTACATCTAGGATCTCCAAAGTTACCAATAATCCTTTATTGCTAAATACAATGGTCATGTCTCAGGCTTTATTCTACTTACACAGCTAACTATCTCCATCTTCCTAAAGACTCTATCATTCCATTGGCTTCCCATTAAAAATGCTCATGAACCATCATTCTTTCGTTGAAAGTATATCTTTTCTTCTGTAATGGAACTCTATCTTACCTGATAGGTCAGAGCAAAGAGAGATGTCTTCCCTTTTATCAGGGAGATCAATTTACACTTAATGCACCATGTTGTTGTCGTGTCTGGGAGAAACACAAACATAGCTAAAGCTAGCCACCATGGAAATATGTGGTCGGATTAAAAGGTGAGCTTCTCATAACTGGAAGTATTCAAACTGATAATAAATGGTCAACTGCTTAGGAGTGTTTTTCAAAGGAAAGTGGGAGAATGAGTTTTATGACATTGGAATGCATAAGGTTCTATAAGTTAATTTATGCTGCTCTTGGTGAGTTACTCTGAGTTTCCATAAAAATGCGGATGGAGGTGAAATACCTGGAGAGTTCAACAGGAGGAAATTTTAATTTACATGCATATTAAAACAGTAAACCAGTATTTTTTGAATACCTACTATATGTTAGGAGGTAAGGGATGGGTCAGAAAAGCCCACAAGCAGTTTATAATCTATGGCTAAACAAACTGTGGTATATAAATGTAATGGAATATTATTGTGCTGGATGAAAAAACAAGCATGATGAGAGAAGTGTAGAAAGATTTATGTGAATTGATGCAAAGTGAAGTAAGCAGGGCCAAGAAAATAATATGCATGATGAGCAAAATGATGGAAATGGAAAGAACCAACACACACACACACACACACACACACACACACACCCTTGAAACTGAAAGTTGCTAAATTATGAAAAATAAACTTGACCTCCAAAGAAAGTCTATCTTCATACCTCCTCCTTCCTGCTCCTCTATAAAGCTCAGGAACTATAGGTGTGATGCACTGCATGTAACGTCAGATTTTTTAGGAAGTGTCTATCAATTTTAAAGAACTTTTTCTCTACTTCCTTCTCTTTATTTAAACAAATTATTTTGGGGCATAAGGGAGTGGGGCAGAGGACAGATTTAAGAGGAAATCTAGGTGATGTAAAAACAAAAATAGTCAAGAAAATCAATTTTTAAAAAAACTTTACTTTCTAATTATACTAATTGTAATCTAGTAAAGCCTCAAAACATTGCAGAACCTTCTAAAATATGAACTACACACACTCAAAAGGGTTTGGCCTAGTAATTTTGACTAGGACAGAAACCAAGTGGATGACAAATAAATTCGAGGTATGTCACAAAGGGATGGATGGATGAGAAACAGAAAGTCATGTACAGCAGGCAGGCCAGTTAGGTTACGCATGTGGAGACTCTTGGTCAGTTACAATTTGGACTTAATGGTCTTTGAGGTCCCATCCAACTCTCAGGGTCTGTCATTTGGGGAATTACTCTCTTTCCTACTGAGCCAAAATCTGCTTCGCTGAAACACTCGCTGGTCTTAGTTTTAAAATTTAGTCAACCAAAATATTTAGTAAATAACACTCCATTTTTCAAATACTAAATCTCTTTCTACAGTTTGAAGTAAGGGGTGCTAAAATGAAGGGTAAAGAACTGAATTCTAAAAATGACTGATTTTTTTTCCCTCTTCCAACCACATAGTTAGGTAACATACATTATATTTTCCTTCCCAACCACACACTTATGTAATATACATTATATTCACTGCAGCATTACTATTAAAATAGTTCAGCTTTAAAAAAGAAATACATTAATATCCCCTTGTAATAAAAACATTAATAAAAGAAAAACCTTGGATAACATATCTACCTATTTCAGAAGAGCAAAATATTAGAATTAAGCATCCTAAATCTTAAAGATTGCTAACATGTGCAGTAGGTTTTATATTTAAGCATCATAGGCATTTTTCTATTGGCTAGTCTTATCAATGAATTCATTGTTCTTGGCTGACAGATAGTCACCAATCACCCACTAAGTGCAAAGTGTTGTGTGGGATAAACAGTTGTGCACCACAAAATCCCTGCTCCCCAGGATCACCTTCTGATCACACAGAAGCCATCGGTTAGGATACAACTAAGTGTCACTTGAACTTTGTGAATGCCCACATTCAATCATACCTGATTTATGGTCTTTTCCATTTGCACCAAGCCCAGATTTGGTAGTGTATTTTTAATAAAATCTACTATGGTTTCTAAGTTTTCATGTTGCAGAATCAAGGGTTTATGGCTTCCTAGTAGACTTAAAGCCACTTTAAATATGACTTCTGATCCCTGAAGAAAGATCATATCTGGGAAAACAGAAAAGGAGAAAGTTAAACCAAACCAGATTCTGATGAAATAACTTACCATTTCTATATCCAAAGTAGTTATTCATTTATACATTACAGAATCATAGAAGTTCTTTTTGGTTTTTTTTAGCTCAAAGGTACATTTGATCCAACTCTCTGCATTTTACAACAGGTTTGGAAATATAAGCCCAAATTCTTTTAACTTTATTTCCATTTTAATATATTTTAGATAAAATAGTGAGAGATGATTTTTGCAAACAACAGAAAGATAAATATTAATAATTTTAAGGTCACATATGCCTTAAGGAAGTCAATGACAAAATCAAAGGCCTATCATTCACCAACACACACATAGTGTGTGTATATATACATAAAAATATAGTATACCTATATATTTATAGCATATATAAATATATTTATATACTACTACTACTATTTGGAGTGGCAAAGAACTAAAAACAAAGTAACAAAGTTAGCCCACTAACTGGAAAATGGATAAACAAATCACGGTGCATGAACGTAATGGAATACAGAGAAGCATGTGAAGATTTATATGAACTGATTCAAAGTGAAGTAAGCAAAACCTAGAAAATAATATATACAATGACTATATAACAATATAAATGGGGGAGGGGAGGCAACCTAACAACAAAATAATCAAAACTGAATGCTACAAAGTTATAAGGAGCAACCCTGGCCACAAAGAAGAAAGAGATAAGCACCTTTTCTTTGGAGGGGATGAAGAAGAAGAGCAGGGAAAGGAAATGATTCTAGGTGTGCAACACTGTATATGATGTTAGAATTTCTCAATATATCGGTTAGTTTTGCTGAGCTTTTTAATTATAAGAGATAAGTCTCTGGGAGGAAGAGGAGAAGGAGGAGGAAGAAGTAAAAAATCCATTAAGAAATGCCAATTATATAAAAACAAAAGATATTAATGAAAAGTTATTTATTAAAATACCTCTAAGTGATTTTTTTTGAGATTTGGTGCTATAGGTGCAAAGGAACATCAATCAGAATATAATTTTGGGGCTTACTATGGAATAATACTTGTGACCTCATTTATTTTAAAAATAATGACAAAAAATGATATAATGTTTGTAAAACCCTAAGCTTTGTAAAGAAAGCACTATGTATGTGCCCACAAAGCAGTACTATGAAAGAAAAGTTCTACAGATCTATTCATGTTTAATGTCCCTATCCCCTGGGTCAGGACATAACTACGAGGTTTTTTTTGGTTTGGTTTTTGGTGCCTTTTTAGCAATGGGTTTCCTGGTAACCAAAAGGAACAGACTCCACAGAATGCTTTCTGAGATTCTAAATTTAGCCTTAAAGTCTCTTCCGTCAACCTGATTATTTCTAATCTCTGCTAAGGAAACTGTCTACGTGGACTCTCACTGACCAGTGGACCATGTCATGAATTCAAGATACACTGAAGTGTCATCTACACAACTTGTGATTTTCACTGTTGGACTAGGAGGCAGGTGCTATTGAATTCCCAAGGCAGAGAAAGATAAGGAAAAGATGGCCTTTGTTGTCCAGTAGGAGTCTACCAATACGCCAAGGGATTTCTTGGGATCTGCCAGTTTTCAACTGTTCATGGAGAAAGTGGTTTAGATGACCTTCATTCTGATCACTGGTAAGTTGGAGGCAGTGAGCCAGGCTGGGATCCCGCAATACTAGACAACTGAGTTCATCATTACTAAAGCCAAAAAAGACAAATGCAGATCCAGATGGCCTATCCCATTGGCTGTGCACATCAAAAACCTTGGAGAATCTTGCAGAAGAGGTGAAGCAAAGAAGGTAAAATTCATCTATAATATGAAGAGTTGGGCTGTTAACAGCTCAGACTTTTCCCAGAAAGACTGCAATCAGAAAATTTCAATCAAGAATCACAGAACTCAGGGTTGGAAGGAACCTCCTTCCCACTCCCTCACCACTGTAAGATACTTGATAAATGATTATTGACTCTCTTCATGAAGATTTCCAAGAAGGAGGAATCTAAGCAGTCCATTCTACTTTGAGACAGCTCTAATTGTGAGGAAGTTTTTCCTGATCACGGGCCTAAATTGGCCTGTTTGTAACTGCCACCCACTGCTCCTAGTTCTGCCCACTTTGACTACATAGAAAAAACCTAATCCCTTGAAATATCTGAAGACAGCTTTCACATTCATCCTGAGTCTTCTCCAGGCTAAACACTGCCAAGCTCCTTCTCCTTCACCCAATCTTCATGTGACAGAATTAAGGGCCTTCACTATCCTAGCTGTCTTCCTCACTTACCAACGTCCTTCTTAACTTCAGTGTCCAGAATTGAACTAACAGTTTAAATTGAGGTCAGGTAAGAGCAGAGGCTATGCTTCTCCTAATGCAACCAAAATTGCATAAGCAGCTTTAGATGACCTATTAAGCTGCTAACTTATACTAAGTTTGTAGTCCTCCACCTACTGTAGATCTTTTCCAGACAAACTGCTAACTAACCACGTCCCTCCGTCTTGTACATGTGAAGCTGGCATTCTGTACCCAAAGTAAAATTTTACATTGAACTTCATCATTATTAGATACAGACCAATGCTCTAAGTCTGTCAAGACGCTTTTAGGTTTGGACTCTACCATCTACTTCTAGTTATCTCTGCCAGCTTTTGTGTTCTACAAATCTGAAGAGCCTTTATGCAAATGGTAAAAATGTTAGACGGAGATCCCTAGGGTACTCCTCTGGAGACCTTCTGACACACTGACACTATGCTACTGGGCCAACCTTCCCTACCCCAATTGCCCATGGATGTCCATGGATGATTGACGATGACAGCAAATGTACAATAAAGACCTATGAAAAGTGAACCAGGCTGAACATTCTGCTATTGAGAGAGCAGTAAAAGTTAGAGCAGTGAAATCATATACTGTACTAGGGCATAAATGACTCCACATGAGGCATAAGAAAGCAGTGGGTGCTATCCCAGGCTTATTGCCATAAAATCGCCCCCTAAATGAGTCTGAACAAAAGAGGACTCCAGAGCTAGTACAGAGCAAATCCTATGGGCCTAAGATGGCAGCAGATACATATGGAAAATGAAAAATCTGAAGTACTATTGATTCATATTGTTTATCTGGAGATCATAAGCACCAGTAAGACTTTGGAGCTAATGTATATAGACTTTTCATCTCCAGAAGGAGAAAAAAGGAAGACTATAAACAATATACCCTAGTGCAAGGGTTCTTAATCTTTTTAAAAATTTTAAATAATACTCTATTTTTTCCTCAATTTCATGTAAAAACAATTTTCAACATTCAGGTTTTTTTTTAAGTTTTGAATTCCATATTTTATCCCTCCTTTCTCCACTCCCTCCCTGAGATGGCAAGCAATCTGATATGGGTTATACATGTGCTTAATCTTTTCCTGTGTCTTACTTTACCTAACCCCACCCCACAGTAGTCGGGTGAAAGTTATGATTTTGCTTCTCCAAATAATGTTTTTAAATGCATAAAATAAAATATATAGGATTATAAAGGAAACCAAAGGTAGTGAAAATAAAGCTGTAAATTTTTTCTCTATCCAAGTTCACAGATCCCCTGAAATCTATTCCCCAAAGAGGTCTGTGGACTCTGGGTTAAGAACCCCTGTTGTACTAGTCACAGGTCCATCCAACTAAGAAATAATAGTCTTCTATAATGGCTAAAGCAGAGTTTTCCAAACTGTATGGTCTGCTTGCTCAGCAGGGCAAGAGATTCTCTTGCAGAACACGATACAATGATCAAAATTATTGGATATTTTCAAATACAACTCCCCCCAAAAACATACTTTTTTCAATGAAAACAAAGTCCAAATCAAAGTTGATAAAAGTGAGACTAATGTGATGAATTCACTCCCGCTGAAAGTTAAGGCAGCACAATTATTTCATGCAATATATGAACAAACAAGATCAAATCTGAGTCAGTGTGTGTTGAAGCCTGAGGTGGGCACAATCTGCCACTCTCACAATCAGTGTGGGCTAATGACACAGTTGGACTGTGTCATGCTGCTTGCTACATTTGAATGTGGCATGTAATCTTGAAGTTAAATAATCTTTGTGTGGAAGGAAAAGTATCATAATATCTTAGATTTTTTGATGTTTTGATGGTAAGTAGAGTATAAAAGCTTTTTTTTAAACAGCAACTTTAAAAAAATGAAGTAACTCAAGGACAGTCACAGATAATCATTTTAAATATTCAACAACTAAATCTGTATGCTGTTATAAAAATGGTTATTCTAAATTGTGCATACCCTTTGACCCAGCAATACCACTTCCAGGTCTGTATCCCAAAGAGATCATAAAAACGGGAAAAGAACCCACATGTACAAAAATATTTATAGCAACTCTTTGTGTAGTGGCAAAGAATTGGAAATTGAGGGGATGCCCATCAAATGGGGAATGGCTGAACAAGTTGTGGTATATGAATGTAATGGAATACTATTGTGCTATAAGAAATGATGAGCAGGCAGACTTCAGAAAAACCTGGAAAGACTTATATGAACTGATGCCGAGTGAAATGAGCAGAACCAGGAGAACATCGTACACAGTAACAACTACATTGTGCAATGATTAACGTTGATTGACTTAGCCCTTCTCAGCAATGCAAGGATCTAAGACAACTCCAAAAGACTCAAGATGGAAAATGTTATCCACATCCAGAGAAAGCACTATGGAGTCTAAATGTAGATGGAAGCATACTATTTGCTCTCCTTTTCTTTTGTTATTTTATTTCTCCTTTCTCATGGTTCCTCCCATTAGTCCTAATTGTTCTTTACATCATGACTAATGGGAAAATATGCTTAAGATGAATGTATAAGTAGAGCCTATATCATATGCCGTTTTAGTAGGGAGGGGAGAGGGAGAGAGAGAATTTTTGTGTGTGTGTGAGGCAATTGGGGTTAAGTGATTTGCCTAGGGTCACACAGCTAGTGTCAAGTGTCTGAGGCCAGATTTGAATTCAGGTCCTCCTGACTCCAGGACTGTTGCTCTATC